ATAAAATAAATATCAAGAAATATTTTTAAATTTTTAAAAATTATTTTTAGCCTTCTAAGATATAAAATTATATAAAAATAATAAGTGTTTTAATTTTTAGTTAAGGGTAAAAGAGTTTTTTTTTTTTATTTTATTTCCCAACTCAGGATATATAATCTCACCCACCCCTACCCCATTACTAATAATCTTACAAATTTGTTGGATTAATAATCCATTGGATTAATAATTCTGAAACAAAATTTCAAAACAAACACAGGATTATTGGGCTTACGGATTAATAATCTCAATCCCATGTTCAAATCCAATCAATCAAGCATGCTCATATTTTGTTACCTTAACTTTATTTAGAAAATCATTATAATCTCATGTTTTTCATTGATACTACATGTTTTGGGAGTGATTTGGATTGAACAATAGGTGGAGAAATGAAGAAATTTAGCTTAAACTAAATAGGTTTTCTCGGACAGATTTCCTCACCTAGCACTGCACATGCGGCGGGGCTTTCCACACGTGCGACAATCCATTTCCAGCACAAAAATTGATTTTGAAATAAAAGCGCTTGCCCCCGCACGTGCCCTGATTTTCCCGCACGTGCGGAACCCCCCTGTTTCAACCCAACTTCGGATAGGTTTATCTCCTTCATCTGAACTTTGTTTGAAGTGATTCTTGAGCCTAAATTCAAGTCTCGAAAATCTAGTTTCTAATGGTGGTGGTCTCACATCCAAATTCTAAATACGCAAATAGTTATGCCCAAATTAAGGAAGGTTGTTCACTTTCTGTCTACTCATGTCATGCTATTTATTCTCCTAACCCAGTTTCTTTCTGTTTCTTCCTATTTTCCTTGATATGAATTATGACCCATTGAAGACTAATGAGTTTAGAACCAACATAACTAATTGGTTAAAGAGAAAATTAATAGATCTGTTTATGTGATTAAGAAAAGATTAAGCGAAGTAACTCTGTTCAAGAGAATAGTTCTATGTTCGATATGTAGTGCTATGTAATAATTTTGGTTTTCAGTTCATAAATACTAATTCCTGTTAGAATGTGTCCCACATCACCTGGAGTTGCCCCATCTGTGCTAGTTATAGGGCACTAGTTTCCTTCTCCTTAATACTTGGGTTTTAAGGAGAAGTGTGGGCTGGGCTTTTCAACTTGGTATCAGAGCTTGGTTGGGCCTGTGACTAGTGGGCTATTTGTCCAGCTAGTGTTTGTTGTGGTCTAGGAGAGTGTGTTGGAATGTGTCCCACATCGCCTGGAGTTGCCCCATCTATGCTAGTTATAATGCTCTAGTTTCCCTCTCTTTAATACCTGTGTTTTAAGGAGAAGTGTGAGTTGGGGTTTTCAACTATTCCTTCTGCTGTACTCCCTGTTGGTAACAATGATGTAGGAAATCAGAGTTACCGAATCATCTACAAATGAGAAACTTGATTTGAGGCTCAACTATTTTCAGATATTGCAAACTGCTAGGTCTCCACCACAGCCTCAAGCCCGACAAAATGGTGGTCCTATAGAGAATGAAAGTAATGTTATTAGTGCATGTCAAAGCCACAATGTTGTTGTGTTGTCAAAGATAGAAGATACCAGAGAACTATCCAAGATAAAATCTGGAAAAAAAAAAAACAAAACAGGGGACTCACTTAGTCGGGAGATTCTTGAACAACATTTTCATCTGACTCTTTTAGATGCTGCAAGCAAGCTAAAAGGTACGTATGTGTTCTTGAAGTTGAAGTGTTGCTTCCGGCTCATGCTGCTTTCAACTGGCTGAATTGTTCTTATATATATAAAAGCTGACTAATCCAATAGTTGCAGCATAAAAAATCACTTGCAATAATAAAATAAAATAAATAATGAAAAAAAATAGTAGCAGCACAGAAATGGAGTATTTCTTATTTGCATTGTTGTTTTTGCAGTTAGCAAATCTACTCTAAAGTGCAGATGTAGGACGCTTGAGATCGAAGAGTGGCCATCTTGTAAGAGAAACAAGGTAAAGCGAGTAGATGAATTTGTTCCAGGTGCAGGAGCAAACAATCCTACTCTTTCTACGAGTCCAAGTCTACTTGATCAACCAAAGCCTCCAGGCTCTGAACTTCGAAGAGAAAAGGGCAAATCACTCTACTATAGAACGGAAGTGGGTTTTGGACAGGTTAAGAGGTTGCTGGATCATATGCCTGGGGGCTATCACAATGAACTCCGTGTGCAAACTGGTAATTTGCAAGAGTTTGGTCAAATGATTCGGAAGGAGAATTTATTCATTGCTGTTACTAACGAACAATGTTCAAAAGTTGCGGGCTCCTCTGAATTGGTGTTTCAACCAACTAGACCAAATCCCTCAGTTGCTCATTGCAAGCCTGATGCCATTCTTTCCACACTGCCTCAAACCCCCTCAAGAGATCTACTGCTAATTAGAAGTTCAGAAGGCTTTTTAGAGAATGCAATGTTGGGATCCAGTTAGAGAACTGGCCTAGCTCCCAAGCGAGTCTAGACTAATCTGGCTCGAGTGGTACCAAATGTTACTGCAAGGCAAGAAATGAGCACTCTGATTGTGAAAGCAACATATAGAGAAGGCATGATACGATTTCGATTTTCGTCAAACTTCGAAATTATTGAGTTGAAGAATAAGATAACAAATAGGCTACCGTTAAAGGTTGGTACTTTTAACATACAGTACGAGGATGACAATCACGAGTTGATTTTAATGGCCTGTGATGAAGACTTGCAAGAGTGCATGGATATTTGGACTTCACTTGGCAACAACAAAGTCATATTATTCATTCATGATAAAATTACCACTTCTAGGATTGCCTGTGAAAGCAGAGGGGTGAAAAGAAAACAGACATATTAGTGAAATTAATTGCCTTAGGATCAATTAGAATTTTAGAAGTAAAGAGTTCTGTTTGTATTGATTAGAATTTTTTTTTTTTGGCAATATTGATTGGAATTTGGAACCAATAAATGCAGCTGTAGACACCCCACTTTTGACCGACCTTAAGACTCAGACGTCACCGATTGGGCGCTCGGTGATGGTGCATATTGCACTCGTTCAGAAGTTTAAGAGTCTCGGCTGCGAGCCTTGCTTCCGGACTTCCGGGCTCTTTCGTGTCTTGCCTCGGTTTGCGAACCAGGCTCCGTTTTCTTTGTTTTCTCTTCCCGAAGGGTGGGAGAGGTCTCGTAGATCATCTCTCAGTGGCCGTAGGCTACGTTTCATGGTCGTAGGCCATTTTTCCCGTTTGGAGCCCGGTTTTCGGTTTTTCGGAGCCGACGGCCGTGTGCCTCGGTTCGGGACCGCTTAACCACCTCCATTTGCCCCGGTTTTTGGTATACACCCCACCACCATCCATTCCAACAATTTGGAGCTGTTTTTCAGAGCTTGGGAGCACCATTTCTCAGACCAAGACCTGTTGGTCCATTGGTCTTCAAGGGTAAGCTTCTTTTCTCTCTTTTTTGTTCCTATCTTGCTCTATATCTAAGCCTTGCTTGCAAGCATTTTTGGTCTCCGACTCAAACTGTAAATAGTCATATTTTGAGCTCCTTTTCATGTTTGATTAAGGACCTTTTGCTGTTTGAGAACCTCAGCTACCACTTGCTTCTTTAACTCTCTTTTAGGCCTATTTTGGGGAGAAATTTGAATTTCATTTTCCCCCCTTTTTTCTCCACTTCTCCCTCTATAAAACCAGACCCTCCAGCTCTGTTTTGAAGGTCACAAAAAATTGTTTGAAGCATTATACACACAACCTCCCTCTCCCTCTCTTCCAAGCTCCAAAACCCTTTGTTCTTGGACCATTTTTACACTACAACCCCTAGCCTATCACCTCCATTACTCATTTCAGTACCTTGGAGGACATTTGAAGAGGTTGAAAGCTCAGATTTTTGGACTAAAAGCTGCTGGAAAGTTGTTCTTCAAGGGTGAGTCCCTATTTCCCTTCGGTTGAGAATCTCATTGTAAGTTTCCCAGTACTTCGCATTGTATGCCTTCAGTGAACCTCCAGACTCCATCTTGACGCCCAGGAGATGGTCGACCTCCTTTGGCGTTCGAGTGTTGGTTTTGAACCTTGTGATGAAGGCCTCTGCTAATTGCTGCCATCCCTCGATACTCCCCTCCGGAAGCCTTTTGAACCATTTCAGGCCCAGTTCTCCTAAGCTTGCTGGGAATATAAAACACATCAAGGCGTCATTGCGCCGGTGTCCAGTTATTACTTGCTGGTAATGACTCACGTGCATGTATGGATCTGTCTTGCCGTCGTACAAGATGAACTTAGGCTGGTGGAATCCGCTGTATCTGGCAAAGCAGTCCATGTTTGGCACTTCTTTCAAAATCTGTTTTCTCAAAACGATTTGCTGGATTTGGACTCTTTGGTTCAGATTTAGAACCATGACAATTTGAGAGTCCGAGCTGTAGTGACCCCAAATGAACAGAATGGGGGGACTCGTTCCTCCCCGGGGGCGTTCGGGGACGTCTATAGTTTCTGGCGACTCTGCTGGGGAGAACTTGACTCGAACTCATGATATTTGGTTTTGACTACGGGTACATTCCATGCATCGGGCGCCATGTTTCCATGTTTCGGGGCTGTTTTGCATCATATTTCAGCACTGAAATTTGCATGTTTGCATACCATGTTTCATGCCTTTCCATGTCTTGTTATAGTGGCATTTGCGCCTTAGGATTGGTCCTCGATTTGCGTGCATGTGTTCACGCATTTCGAGTGTCTCACTTTCATCTCATGGCCTCCTATGTGAGTGTGGCCGAGGTCCACTCATGTTGGTGTAAGTCCATTGTGCATTGTGTATGCCATTTCATTTCTTAGCATTGCGTATGTTAGGTTGTATGTTAGCACATTGTGTATGCCATGTTACCTCGTGCATCGTGTATGTCATTCCATAGCATTGTGCATGCTAGGTTGTATATTAGTTGCATTCATGCATGTCATGCATATAATACCAAAATTCATGTACTTGAGCAAAAAGTTGCTCAACGACTCCAAATGCAACATGCTCCCAGCTAACTCAAAAAATTCAACATTTCAATAAGTACAACAAAAAACTAATAAGTTACGAATTACAAGGACAACATTAGTATAGTCAAAGCATATAGGAGAACTGCCCCCTTGGTAGACACAGGAACACGCCTCAATAGATATGGGCACATGCACGTTGACACTTACATATTGAATCTAAGACAAATATATGTGAACTTCATTCTAAAAGGAAAAACAATGACACTTTAACACCCAACTCACACAACAGACAATAAATGTTAACAACCTTGCAATATCAGAATTTAGTTTCAGCCCTGCAATAGCACCTTGAGCATATTGAAGCAGCCCTTCCCGCTTAACCTGAAATAAAAACAAAGGGTCAGGGACCAAAGGTCAATAAACTCATCAGTTTTGGTCTGAAAAAATACTGTAAACTATATAGATGCTTCTAAATGGAGGGATGTGCATGTTGTCTGTACCAGTACTTCCAACTCATAGCTTGAGAAAGCTTTTGCCAAATTTTGCATGCAGCACATTGTTGTTTTATGAACTTCCTTTCCTCCTGTGAAACAAAGCCTAAATACAACCATATTAGGAACATATTTTGCCTAAAATTCCATCAATAACTTTTTACCCATTCGGGAGCTGGGCAGTGTAGAAAATAGATCAAATCGAAGAAGCTCTGCTCCATTATCGATCGGTGTCTATACAGATACGTGTATGTACATGAGAGAATCGATAAATATACATATATGTATATGTATATACAAAGTGGAAGAGATAAGGAGATGAGGTGCTAAGCCATGGAAGCTTGCATAGATGGTGGTGGCGGTGGAGCTTTGAAATCGAGAGAGAGAGAAATCGAAATCGCTTTAAGATGAAATCAAAGATGAATCTCTGAGAGAGAAATCTAGAGAGAGAATCGAAATCGGGTGACAGTGCAGACCGATCTGAATCGAAATCGCGGTGGCGGTGCAGATCGATCTGAAACCGGTGAATCTGCGAGATTTGAATCGGTGAATCTGTGAAATCGGTGAATCGGTGAATCTCGCTACCTGGCTGGTGCAGATTGTGGTGGAGGTGGAACTTCGAAATCAATGAATCTGTGAGATTTGAATGTGAGATTCAAAAATAAGGGTTTAGAGAGGATTGAGAGAGAGGCGACGCGAGGATTCAATGTTTATGTCTGAAGACTGAGGGTTTACAAAGGCTTTACTCTCATATTCAAAATAGGCGCGTGTGACATACCGCATTTGGAGGCGTTTTCAAACGCCTTTGACCATAATACGGTGTCGTTTTAATTCACTAAACATACGACGTTTTTAAAACGTCGCTAAATGTTAATTAAAATGACGTTTAAGAAAACGCCGTTAAAAAAAGTCGTGAAAACCCTTATTTCTTGTACTGACCGGAGAATCATCCAATATAAAATCTAGAAAAAAAAAAGAAGGGATCAATTGGTCTGGAGATTCTTCAACAACATTTCCATCTGACTCTTCTAGATGCTGTAAGTAGGCTAAATGGTACGCATGCGTTCTTGAAGTTGAAGTGTCGCTTTCTGCTCATGTTGTTTTCAACTGGCTAAATTGTTCTTATATTATATGAAAGCTGACTAATCCAATAGTAGCAGCATCAGAAATCACTTGTAATAACAATAAAAAATAATAATGAAAAAAAAATAATAGCAGCACAGAAATGGAGTATTTCTTATTTGTACTGTTGTTTTTGCAGTTAGCCGATCTACTCTAAAGCGCATCTGTAGGGAGCATAGGATCTCGGAGTGGCCATCTCGTAAGAGAAACAAGCTAAAGTCAGTAGATGAATCTTTTCCAAGTGCAAGAGCAAACAATCCTACACTTTCTATGAGTCCAAGTCAACTTCCCACTGTTGTTGTACTTGATCAACGAAAGCCTCCAGGCTCCGAACTTCAAAGAGAAAAGGGCAAATCACTTTGCCATAGAACGTAAGTGGGTTTTGGACAGGTTGAGAGGCTGTTGGATCATATACCTAGGGGCTATCACAATGAACTCCATGTGCAAACTGGTATTTTGCAAGAGTTTGGTAAAATGACTCCAAAGGAGAATTTATTCACTGGTGTTGCTAACGAACAATGTTCAACAATTGGGGGCTCCTCTGAATTGGTGTTTCAACCAACTAGACCAAATCCCTCAGTTGCTCGTTGCAACCCTGATGCCATTCTTTCCATACTATCTCAAACCCCCTCTAGAGATTTGCTGCTAATTAGAAGTTCGGAAGGCTTTTCAGGAAATGCAGTGTCGGGATCTAGTCAAAGAACTGGCCCAGCTCCCAAGCGAGTCAAGACTAATCTGGCTCGAGCGGTGCCAAATGTTACTTCAAGGCAAGAAGTGAGCACCCTGATTGTAAAGGCAATATATAGAGAAGACATGATTCAATTTCAATTTCCGTCAACCTCTGGAATCATTGAGCTGAAGAATAAGGTAACAAAGAGGCTGCCATTATAGGTTGGTACTTTTAACATAAAGTATGAGGATGACAAGCAGGAGTCAATCCTAATGACCTGTGATGCAGACTTGCAGGAGTGCATGGATATTTGGACTTCACCTGGCAACAACAAAGTCAGATTATTTATTCATGATAAAATTACCACCTCAAGGATTGCCTATGAAAGTAGAGAGATGAAAGAAAACAAACATATATTAGCGAAGCTAATTGCCTTAGGATCAATTAGAATTTTAGAAATAAAGAGTTCTGTTTACATTGGTTGGGATTTTTTTTTTTTAAATTTTTAATGGCAGTATTGATTGGAATTTGGAACAAGTAAATGCAGCAAAGGAATAGTATTTTCGTGCAATTATTATGGCCAACTATTCAGTTAAATTTTTTTTCTTCTTTTCTTTAAATTAATAAATTTTTATAGATTCTCACATTAAAGAATTGAAGTAAACTCCATGGTGGTATGGTGAATGGAATGACGAGCTCATTCTGCTTCCATGGTTAAGTTGTTAACATAGAATGATGTAGGAAGCAAATAATAATTATCATTTTTATATTTGATTATACCTAATTAAACTGTTAGAATGGATGTAGTTTGTCAATTGGTCAACTCTTTAATGTTCTATTATAATCAACCTAGTGGGCTTGGGCTTGATCATACGATTTGGAGTGGAAAAGTTAGTAATTGATTGGACTGTCTAGTCCGTTAACCATTTAAAGACTTCAAATTGACGTAGCATTTTCTATTTTTTCTTTAAAAGGATAATTATAACCAAAATTTTTTTTGTTAGGTTTAACCTTTATAACAAAATAAATTATAAATTTTTAATTTTGTCAACTTAAATCTTGATTTTATGATTTGTTTTTAATATAAACTATTTGTTTATTTTCGTTAACTAAAACTGACCAAAAAAATATATTATTTTAGTTATTAAACTCAATATAAGTATAAGTAAAATGTTTAAAATTTCCATTTTATTGAGTTTAATGACTAAAATATTAATTTTTTTCGTCAATTTTATTTAAAGAAAATAGGCAAATGGCTAAAATTGAAAAAAAAAAAAAGTTAAAAATTTTAGGGTTCAAATTGACAAAATTAAAAATTCAAGATTTATTTTCTTACAAGGATCAAATTTTGAGTTTTTTTTTCTTCGTAATTTCTCCTAAAAAAATAAACTTAGTGTGCTTTTCATATATATATATTTTTTAAATATATATACTAGTTATAAAACATGGGTAAACTATAAGAGTTAGAAAAAAAAAAAAAAAAAAAAGAAGAAAAAACTGTGAAATTTGGCTATGAATCTCTCTTACCTTCCTTTTCTTGTTAAAAGAATCCAAAAAAAAAAAATTATACTTTCAAAACCCCCTCATAATTATACAGTCTTGTATAAAGGGCAAAAAATTTTAGATTTATATTTTGTGTGACAAATTTACCTCTTCACACACACACATTTTCTTGTTAAAAGAATCCAAAAAAAAAAATTATACTTTCAAAACCCCCTCATAATTATACAGTCTTGTATAAAGGACAAAAAATTTTAGATTTATATTTTGTGTGACAAATTTACCTCTTCACACACACACACACTCTATCTTTCTCCTCTCTCTCTCCATCAATTTGTCATCTCACTTTCAGCTCTTTCTTTCTCTATCTCTTTCTAAGAGCTCTCTCCACCACTACCACCACCACCGTCTACACCACCACCACCATCGCCATCTCTACTACCACGACTACCATCGTTTCCACCACCTCCGTCATGTCCACCAACACCGTCTCAACCACTGCCACCACCGTTTCACTACTAGCATCTCAATTACCAGTGCCATTCGAAGTCACTATCGTCATCCTTAGCATCCAAGACTTCAAATCTAAGATTGATGACCTCAAATTTGAGATCTATCATCTCAGATCTATATTTTCTCCCTCTTTTTCTCTTTGTCTCCTCATCATGCTTTGTTTTTCAGATAGTAAAATTTTACTCTGGTTTGAACCAAATCTAAGGCAATTTATGTGCTATCTCTATCTCTCTATTTCTCTATTTTTTTCCTCTGGTATGTCCTCTGTTTTTGTTTGACAGAAAGAGAGTAAAATTTTACTCTAGTATTTGCTCTAATTTTGTTTAGCAGAATGAGAGTAAAATTTTACTCTGGTATGTGCTCTGTTTTTGTTTGATAAAATGAGAGGAAAATTTTATCTCTAAGCCAATATACGTGTTTAACGATATAAAATTTTACTTTGAATAATAATAAATTTTACTCTGATTCAGAGAAAAATTTTACCCTAAATCAGAGTAAATTTTTTATTTATTCTGAAATACACTGTGAGGATGACTTTATCGAAGAGCTAATACATATATATATATATATATATATATGAGGGTAGTATAGTAAAAGAAACAAGTTTAAAATATTAGGGGGTTTTGAAAGGATCTAAATAATTCTTGTCTTTTTAAAAGACAAATTAGACAGTGAGGAGTCTATCACCAAATCTCTCAAAAAAATTACCAACATATAAAGGGGTGTAATCTTTCATTTACACTCCACCACAGACACACCTGTACCTCCATATGTTTGTAATTTTTTTCCCCAACTCTCACATGTATATAATTCCTCCATAACTCATCTAACTTCTTGATCATTCAAAAAAAAAAAATTATAACAAATTGAATAAGTTATCATAGTAAGATGGGTTAATTTTTTTTTTAAGGAAATATATAAATAATTTTACAAAGATAATTAATTTAAATTATTAAAATAGCTATAAACCTAAATAAGAAGCTCCAATTGAGTTCAGATGGATGTGAGGGAAGCACAGTTCAACACATGACTGGTAAGTCCTTCTACGTCTAGAATTAGAAAACTAGCTTTCTAGACATCGATGCCATTACATTACCATAAAGCAATCCCAATTGGTCCAAAATTAGAAAACTGAATATAATAATAATTATTATTATATTTTCAAGAAAGGAATCCTAATTTTATTGAAACCAATAAGGGTTTTCTTTTCCTATCGGTGACCTATATTGAAGGGACTAAATATAAAATGGGTCGGATCCAAGCCTTGGGCCGGCCCAATCCATTAGACTCAAAACCTGAGAAGCAGGATAAGCAAGTGGGCCAGTCAGATTAGCCCAATTACATCGTCAACAATCCACCCAAGTCCTCAAGCACTTGGGCCCAGCGTGTGGAGGAAAGGTCAATCCAACCACGATGTTAGACTAGGCCGAGCCGCAGGATCTGATCCTTGGACCGAACCTACAAAGGGCCAAGCCCATACAAAGATATCCTACTGGGCTAGCCCATCTCTACAAACAATCTCGTAGAGGGCCGAGCCGAGGCACGACGGTATCGAGCCAAAAAGAACCCAATAGAGAAACGTAGAAGCTGTGAATGCATGCACAGGGAGGGTGCCACCTCAGCTGGTCCCCTCCCCCTAGAATAACGGAAACAGTTGATCGAAGGAATGTGATTTGATACAAGCATGGTTACAGTAAGTATACACACCCCTAGTCAACTACCAGATGGTCCCCCACCTTAGGCAATGCTAAAAGGAAACTTTGCAGCACCAAAGCTCCATGAAACCATCTTGGGCAACAAGCAAGGAGTTCTATATAAACTACACTGACTTCACACTGAAGGTAACTGATCTAAGCTAAACTATACTCACCAAAACACGACTCTCAGCA